AATGTGAAAGCGATATTCCTTGTTGCTCAGTTGGTCTGCCTTTAACTCCTCGTGTTATGGTATTTAGTATTCCATTCTTCTCAGCTGAGAACATAATGTGTTCTCTTAAATTTTCTAAATCTTTATTATTATAAATCCCGCTTGTTGCCAAAGAACCAGGATTTTTATATTCCCATGTTGGCTTGATCATTGGCTTAATTTTCATTGGTGGTATTCCTAATTCCGGTGTTGGAGAAATTTTGTACCATGTATCCTTTAAATAATACATAGTTGGTATTATTTTGTTGCATGTTGTTTATGTCCCTGTTTTTAGTAAAACATGTGTTCCTGGAGCCAAAAAGTAAGTTTCATTTCTTTTATATACAGGTAATTGATTGTAACATTTTTCAATATGTCGTATTGTTACTTCCACTGGAGTACATTTAATTATATATAAGACTTCTCCAAAAATTGTTACCATATATCCTGGTCCTTTCATGAACTGATAAGCGAATTCATCTGAGTGTACAGCGATGCTTAGTGCATTTTTAATAACTTGTTGTTCAAGGTTGCATCGTTGCTGAATTACATCTCTGTATAAATATTTAATTTGTGTTCGAATGTGTTTTTCCACATAAATGAATTTTGAATTGATGTAAGCAAATATGTCTATGTTTTCAATTGTTTTTTTGTTTCGTTGTGTAAATGATTCTCCTCTTTTTGTTTCTAGTATTAATAGTTTAGGATGTTCTGTCTTGATTAGGGAATATCCGCAAAGAAATTCTTCTCCTGTTTTAGTGAGAGCAAAAGTTATATCTTCTGTTGATAATGAATATACAATTATTAATTTTTCATTTACGGTATCCGTTATTTTATCTGCATATCCCTCGAATAATACATCATAATAGTTAAATTTACAATGATCATTTGGTATGCTTTCCCAATAAGTGCTTTTTCCTTCAATATCTAGACAATTGCTATCAGTGTATTGACAAATTGTTCCAGATTTTAAGTGAACTTGATTAGTTTCAAGAGCAATTGGTGCGTGATAAGATTGTAAAGTTATAGTTATTGTTCCTTGTACTACTACATTTTGCCATGTTCCATAAGGATCTGAATATTGTGCACCAGTACATGTTCCTTCAGATGTTATTGTTCCTGCAAAAGTTATTGATC